CTAAACTCCCGGGATTACTTCTTATAGTAATCCCCCCTAGACCTGTTATTATTACATACGGATTTATCATATACAAAAATCTCCCATTATTATAATTACCTTCAAATGTAATCCCCTTCTGATTACAAATGGTCGACAAATGAAGAAAAAAAAATCCCGTTTTATACAAGAGTAAAAGTCATGCAATCTCCGTTCGTGTAATAAGTGGATTTATGGCTTAGTCGACCGGGGATTAATTGGGGGAAATGAAAAGTCACTGTATGTGTTGCGTTTAACCGAACCCAACAGAACCGAACCGAACCGAACCGAACCGAACCGAACCGAACCGAACCGAACCGAACCGAACCGAACTGAACCCAACAGAACTGAACCGAACCGATTTTTTTTATATTCTGGTTAAGTTCAGATATATTAAAGGTCTTTGATGTTGGAGAGAGAGAGATAGAAGTGGAAATGGGTGAAGAGAGAGATAAACAAAAGAAAAGAAGAGGAGATGAAGAAAAGAGAATTTAGCCCAAGGGAAGAAAAGACTCAGAAACAACAGAAACAGACCAAAGAGAAAGGGGCCACACACACACACACACACACACACACACACACACACACACACACACACACACACACACACACACACACACACACACACACACACACACCATCATATGTATGTATATAACAAGCACACAGGGTCAAAGGTTACTGTGACAACTCATGCACCAACTAACTATAAGTGAAACGACATGCCGACATAACGTGACCCTCCCGGGGCTGTGTAGTGCGGTACTGATCAGAAAGAACACACTCCTCTCTCTCTCTCTCTCTCTCTCTCTCTCTCTCTCTCTCTCTCTCTCATGACCTCTCAACTCACCGCACTCAACTATTGGGGTATTAATGAGTGTGTTGGATTGTGTCTGTCTCAAGTGAAAGGGCGGCGTCTAGGAGTGATTTTTTTTTCCTTTATTTATCTCTGTTTTATTTTCTTTGTCTGTGTCTGTGTGTGTGTGTGTGTGTGTGTGTGTATGTGTGTGTGTGTGTCTCTCACTGGTAATTAGCGCAACCTATAGTTAAATACACAACATTAATTAAGTATTATACCTGTTATTAAAACTTGATACATTTAATTTAGAATGATACTTTTATTTAAGCGTAACTACACACACACACACACACACACACACACACACACACACACACACACACACACACATACACACACACACACACACACACACACACACACACACACACACACACACACACACACACACACACACACACACACTCTCTTCTCAGTAACACTAATTAATATCCTCAGGTAAGGAAGGAATATAACCGTTCTGGCACTAGTTATTTAAGGTGATATTGGCTTGAATTAAAGATCAAACTTCCTCCTTTCTCCCTCCAAAATAAAAATAAATTATATTAAAAAAATACAACAGGTAAGACTATTTACCTGTATTAAATGAAGAAAATATATTCCTTCAAACTACTAATACAAAATAATACAAGTTTATCCTTTATCATACACAATGTATCATAATTTATCATCATTTTAATTACGTGTCATCGTATCCAAGGGACCACTTTTAGCCACTGCGACAAAGTTCAAGAGTAAAAAATAATTTATGATAGTTTATGCTGCAAGGATCAGGTTGTGGCATTTCCGTTTTCTTTCATTGAACGTCAGGGTGATGGTGGATAATGTAAGGGTTTTGACGGAGTGGTGTGTAATTATCTCTCTCTCTCTCTCTCTCTCTCTCTCTCTCTCTCTCTCTCTCTCTCTCTCTCTCTCTCTCTTTCTTTCTTTCTTTCTTTCTTTCCACTACTTGTCGTTAGCAATTGTATAATGTGAAAGAGGGGGGAATGGAATGTGAGAAATATTGGTTTGGGTAGGTCAGGTCAGGTCAGGCTAGGTCAGGTTAGATCAGGTTAGGTTAGGTTAGGTCAGGTTAGGTTAGGTTAGGTCAGGTCAGGTCAGGCTAGGTCAGGTTAAGTCAGGTTAGGTCAGGTTAGGTCAGGTTAGGTTAGGTTAGGTTACTGTTATTATTTTTCCATGGCAAAATATCTGTTTAGGGAAAAACGCCAACTTGACCCTTAAGGCGGAGGTCCTGGCCAGTTGGAATAGGATGTGACCTTCCCGTAGAGTTGGTAGGACTCCCAGTAGGATTCTCCACTATAGAATTCTCTAAATAGGACCCCCTCATCCCTCATTCACTCCTTCTGGCAACACGTCAACCACTTCTGCCTCTCTCTCTCTCTCTCTCTCTCTCTCTCTCTCTCTCTCTCTCTCTCTCTCTCTCTCTCTCTCTCTCTCTCTCTCCAGCCTCTGCATCATCAGAATTGTGTCCACTCTCAGCCAAGACCTTACCTGCCTTGGGACCTTTTTCTCATACCTTCTCTCTCCCAATACCTGAGAGGGCGGCCACGTACAGTATCTCACCTGCTGAGCGTATATGGGCTCAGTCACTTACACCCCCTCTCCATCCCCCCACCCCCCACCCCCCACCCCCACCACCCCCTCTGCGTGCATGTTCCTCCCCAGTTTCTCCAATGCCTACAACTGCTTGCTTGCCTTGTGCTGGGCCGGAACTCTTCATTTTACCAAGTGACAGGTCAATGTTGAGGGGTGTTGAGGGAGGAAGGGAGTAGGGAGGAGGAGAGAGGGGTAAAGAAGTAGGGGGTGTTTAAAATTACGACTGTTCTAAAAGATGTTGACGTTTCTGTTTACCTGTGTTGGTTGTTACTCACCTGTTATTACCTGCCGTTATGGTTCACGATTGGTCAGGTGTTGTGAGTGTGTGTTATTTTTTTTTGGGGGGGGGGTTTTATCTTCCTTGTCTTTTCTCCTTCTATATATTCCTCTTCTCCTCTTCTCCCCTTTCTTTCTTGTCCCCTCTCCTCCTCTTGTTGTCATTCCCTTCTTCTCCCCACTTGTCCTCCTCCTCTCCCCATTACTCTCCCCTCCTGACGACACCCATCATTACTAAACTCATCCCTTCGTCGTGTATACTTCTTCAGGTTATGTTGTTTATGTCGTTCGTTGTACCTTCAGTAGCAAGTTCCTTCAGATTGAGGTGATACAACTCTTACCTTCATAACGTCTTTGATAATTTTAATACACTAAAAGAAAATAAATAAATACCAGTTTTTTTTTTCAGTGTTTGGGATCACACACACACACACACACACACACACACATACACACACACACACTATTTATCACCGTTATTATTTCCCCATTTGCTCCCATTATCCTCCCAATTTCTCCCCATTACCGTAATATATTCCTCTATTTCTCTTCATTAATTATCCGAGTTTATCTTAATTGGTTTTTGTCATTTTATTATGATATTTTTTTCAACATTTTTATTCAAGAGAGAGAGAGAGAGAGAGAGAGAGAGAGAGAGAGAGAGAGAGAGAGAGAGAGAGAGACGTGAGAAACAATAATATAACTTAGTTCCTGTAACTCTGGTTGTTGTTGTTGTTGTTGTTGTTGGGTTCGTTAAGGCCAATTACCTCGTTGTATTGAGAGCTACTTTGTGTCTCTTGGGAGGATTTGGTGGTGAAGGGTGTGGTGAGTGGTGATGATGGTGGTGGAGGGTGTGGAGAGTGGTGGTGATGGTGGTGGAGGGTGTGGAGAGTGGTGGAGGGTGTGGAGAGTGGTGGAGGGTGGTGGTGGTGATGGTGAAAACGGTGGAGAGTGGTGGTGATGATGGTGGTGGTGGGTGGTGATGTAGGATAAGGGTGACGGGGGTGATAGTGAATGATGGTGATGAGTGTTATTGGTGGGCTGTGGTGATGTGGTGGTGGAGGGTGTGTTGGGTCATGAAGGGTGTGGTGGTGGTGTGGTGAAGGGTGTGGTGAAGGGTGTGGTGATGGGTGTGGTGATGTGGTGGTGGAGGAGGTGTGGGGGGGTCATAGAAGGTGGTGGTGGGTGTGGTGGTGGGTGTGGTGAAGGGTGTGGTGGTGGGTGTGGTGAAGGTGTGGTGGTGGGTGTGTGGAAGGGGTGTGGTGAAGGGTGTGTGGTGAAGGGTGTGGTGAAGGGTGTGGTGGTGGGTGTGGTGAAGGGTGTGGTGAGGTGGTGTGGTGAGGGTGTGGTGAGAGGGTGTGTGATGGTTGTGGTGATGGTTGTGGTGAGTCATGAAGGGTGTGGTGATGGTTGTGGTGGTGAAGGGTGTGGTGGTGATGGTTGTGGTGATGGTTGTGGTGGGTCATGAAGGGTGTGGTGATGGGTGTGGTGATGGGTGTGGTGAAGGGTGTGGTGGTGATGGTGTAATAATCATCTCATAACCTTCCTGAGTTCCTTATGTCCATCACTGTTACCTATACTGTTGTTACTGTTGTTCCTCTTACTGTTACTGCTACTTTCTTCAACATAGGTCACAGGAAAACGGCGTTAACCTAACCTAATCTACCACTAACCATACTTAACCTAACCTAACCTTACCGCTAACCATACTTAACCTAACCTAACCTACCGCTAACTTAACCTAATCATACTTTACCTTACCTAACCTTACCTTACCTTGCCTTACCTTACCTTACCTTAGCTAACCTTACCTTACCTTACCTTACCTTACCTTAGCTAACCTTACCTTACCTTACCTTACCTTAGCTAACCTTACCTTACCTTACCTTACCTTACCTAATCCCTACAGGTATCGCTAGGATATTTAATCAACAGGTACAAATAACAGTGAGTTAATCTTCAAATAATCCTAAAAAAAAAAATAATAATAATTAAAAGATGAATATAATTTTTTATCCCAATGTCTACCTAGATTATCTCGCTCGACAGGTGAGGCAGGTGAACATGGACAGGTGTAGACAATTGACTGACATAATCAACAGGTGACGGAATGAGCAGGTATCGTGCTTTGGGTGACAGGGAGAGTGACAGACAGTGTGTGTGTGTGTGTAAAAAAAATCTGGGTTTACGACTTTCTATATCCGGCTCGACAAACTACATATAACTGGCCTACTCAAACCATCGCCTATTCATGACGGGTAGCCGGATCACCGCCCTGGCCCGCTCCTCTATACGGCCGAGCCAGCCAGCCAGCCAGGTCCACATTCTTGCCCCCCCCGACACATGCATATTCACCAACGCACCTGGCCTGTTGGTTGAGGCCCTCGAGTGAGAGAATGCGTCAGTGTGCTGCTTGTGTGTTGTAGTGTGTGTGTGTGTGTGTGTGTGTGTGTGTGTGTGTGTGTGTGTGTGTGTGTGTGTGTGTGTGTGTGTGTGTGAGAGAGAGGAGAAGGTGTACATAAGGCGGATGAATGAAGGATCAATGTTATGTATAGACTGGTGGAGAGAGAGAGAGAGAGAGAGAGAGAGAGAGAGAGAGAGAGAGAGAGAGAGAGAGAGAGATTAGCATTCTTCACCTGCCAGACAAAACATATATGGAGAAAAGTTACGACCTACCTTCGTTTTACTAACTACTACTACTACTACTACTACTACTACTACTACTACTACTACTACTACTACAGTGATTGAGTATAATGAGTACGGTTTCTTTACCCCATGAGTACGTTACCAACCCCCTTGAGTACAATTAGTAAGATATCTTAACTCCTTGAGCATCCATTCACCCTTTGAGTACGATGCGGGTTAACCCTTTCAATCCGATGAGCTACTCCCCTTGACATAAGTTGACATTGTACTCGGAAAGTTTTGTAATTCGAGTCCTACCTTTGGATTTAGAGTCCCAGGTGTACCGTTGATGAACCGTGTTAGGTGTACCGTTGGATGGATGAACCTGTGGCGTGTACCGTTGGATGGATGAACCGTGTTAGATGTACCATTGGATGGATGAACCGTGTTAGGTGTACAGTTGGATGGATGAACCGTGTTAGGTGTACCATTGGATGGATGAACCGTGTTAGGTGTACCATTGGATGGATGAACCGTGTTAGGTGTACCACTGGATGGATGAACCGTGCTAGGTGCACCGTTGGATGGATGAACCTGTGCCGTGTACCGTTGGATGGATGAACCGTGTTGCCCGTGTGCCGTTGGATGGATGAACCGTGTTAGGTGTGCCATTGGATGGATGAACCTGTGGCGTGTACCCGTTGGATGGATGAACCTGTGCCGTGTACCGTTGAATTGGAGGAACCGTGTTAGGTGTACCGTTGGATGGATGAACCGTGTTAGGTGTACCGTTGGATGGATGAACCGTGTTAGGTGTACCGTTGGATGGATGAACCGTGTTAGATGTACCGTTGGATGGATGAACCGTGTTAGGTGTACCGTTGGATGGATGAACCGTGTTAGGTGTACCGTTGGATGGATGAACCGTGCTAGATGTACCGTTGTAAGGTGTACCATCCCCAGCCTGCACCCTGGTGAGTCAGCCTGTAGCCCCGGGCAGTGGTCAAGTAACCTACTGCCATTGCCTCCTTCCCTCCCTCTTTTTCTTCCTCCCTCTCTTCCTGTTCCCTCTCCTTCCTCCTTCCTCTCTTTTCCTCTCCCTCTTTTCCTCCCTCCCCATCCTCCTTCATCCCTCTCTCGCCCTCTCTTCTTCCCCTCCCTCCCTCCCTCCCTCCTCCTTCTCCCTCCTTCACCCCCTCCCCCTCCCCTCACCCGCCCCCCCTCTCCCTCCATCCCCTCCCCACCCCCTTCTTCCCTCCCTCCCTCCCCTCCCTCCCTCCCCCTCCTCCTCCCCCCTCCCTCCCTCCCCTCCTTCCCTCCCTTCACCCCTTCCTTCCTCCCTCCATCCCTCCTTCCTCCCATCCCTCCCTCCTTCACCCTCCCTCCTTCACCCTTCCTTCCTCCCTCCATGACTTGCCTGTGCTTTAGCAGGCGAAGTGTTGCTTCCTCCATGACCTTTGTGTGTTGCTTCCCGTTATTAATTTCTCTCTCTCTCTCTCTCTCTCTCTCTCTCTCTCTCTCTCTCTCTCTCATGTGACCCCACCCCTAGGCCAGTATTGTCCTTCAGTCTCCCTTAAGACTAAACCTCCCCTCCTTCTCTCCTCCCTCTCTCCCTCCCCTCCCTCTCTCCCCCCACCACTCCCTCTCTCCCCCCCACCACTCTCTCTCCCCCCCCTCCCTCCCCTCACTCCCTCGAGCCAACTTTGTGCCCGTAAATAAATCAAGTCAGTCTTTCAATCTATGTTCTTGAAACTTCCTCCCTCTCCCTCTCTCCCCGTCACCTCCTCCCTCTCCCCCCTCTCTCCTCTCCCTCCCTCCCTCCCTCCCTCTCCCTCGTCTTAAATCACCCCGCCAGGCCCGTCCTGCTACCAGTTGTTCGTACCATCTTAATGACCTTTATAACCTCAGTACATTAAGGTCAGTACCAGGTAACGAGGGAGGGTGTGGGTTACGTGTGTTTGGTCACTGTCTTGAGGCAGTGGCGTGAAGATGACGATTGGACGCGACGGACAATGAGGTGGAGGTTTAAATGTTACGTGTGTCTGTACCTCCGACCTCCTGACCTCCTCTGTACCTCCTTCCCTCTTCTATACCTCCTCTGCCCTCCATAACCCCCCCCCCTCCAGCTCTCCCCCCCACCAGCTCTCCCCCCCCCTCACCATACCTCCGTCTTTCCTTCCTTTATGAAATCGAAATATTCCTCGCCTCATCCGGCCACGGTGAGGGAGGAGGGAGGGAAGGGGGAGAGGGAGGGGAGAGGGGGGAACAGGGGAGGGAGAGGGAGGGAACATGAGAGGAGAGTGGAGAAGGCCAAGGGGGAGGGAGAGGGAGGGAACAAGGCCAGTGGAGGGAGGGAAAAAAACCAGGGAGGAGGGAGAGAGAGCGAACAATGCTAGGGGAGGGAGAGGGAGGGAACAAAGCCAGGGAGAAGAGCCAAAGGAGGGAGAGAGAGGGAAGAAGGCCAAGGGAGAGGGGAGGGAGGAAACAGGGCCAGAGGGGAGGGAAGGGAGAGGGGAGAAAAAAGAACAGGCAAGGGAATAAAACGACAGAGGATTGGATGGAAGCTCCCCAGCCTATGTTTTGATCATTGAATCTGTCGCACTCACTTGGCCTCTCTCTCTCTCTCTCTCTCTCTCTCTCTCTCTCTCTCTCTCTCTCTTGTGACATCAGTTGCCCCCCCCCCACCCTCCTCCCAGGTGATCGAAAAGTCACTGTTCACCTGTAATACTCAACCAGTACAGTTATTTACCTCGATAATTATAACAGGTTGCACAGAGACTTTTCAATCACCTTGCAATACCACCTTTACTTAAAATACCCTATGAATATATCTCTATCTCTCTCTATATATATATCTATCTCTCTCTATATATCTATATCTCTCTATATATATATATATATATCTCTATCTCTCTATATATATATCTCTATCTATATATGTTTTATTTATATATGTTTCATGGTTTTTTTTTACCTGGGTTAATTAAGTTAGAGTGAGGGAGAGTACCTGAACAATGGCACCATCCCGCCGGTCCTTACAAAGGTATTCCAAAGGTATAAATGGAACCTATTATAACCTGAACCTATTGAAACTGAACCTTCCCCTCTCTCCCCTCACCCCCTCCTCTCACCCTCTCCCCCCTCCTCTCTCACCCTCACCCCTCTCTCTCACCCCTCACCCCCCTCCTCTCTCACCCTCACCCCCCTCCTCTCACCCCTCACCCCCCCTCCTCTCTCACCCCTCACCCCCCCTCCTCTCTCACCCTCACCCCTCCTCTCACCCTCACCCCCCCCTCCTCTCTCCCCTCACCCCTCCTCTCTCACCCTCACCCCCCTCCTCTCTCACCCTCACCCCCTCCTCTCTCCCCCCTCCCCCCTCCCTCTTTCCCCTCACCCCCCTCCTCTCTCACCCTCACCCCCTCCTCTCTCCACCACCTCTTTCTCCCTCTCGCCCTTTCCTCTAACCTCTGTCAACCCACTATTCCTCCACGCTCCTTCCTCTCACCCCACCCCCCTCTCACCCCTCCCCTCTCACCCCTATCCCACTCCCTCCACTCCCTCTCCCACCCCTACCCCTCCTGACCCCACCTCCCTCTCACCCCCTCCCCTACCCCCTCTCACCCACCACTCCCTCTCACCCCCTACCCCTCTCTCACCACTCCCTCTCACCCCTACCCCTTTCACCCCCTCCCCTCTCACCCCTACCCCCTTCTCACCCCCCCTCCTCTCACCCACCCTCTCTCACCCCCTCTCACCCCCCCACCCCCTCTCTCACCCCTCCCCCTCTCACCCCTCCCTTTCTCACCCCACCCCCTCTCACCCCCACTCGCTCGTCGCCTTCCCTAAAAGCCCTTTGAAATAATCTGCTTCTTTGTAAGTTATCTTGGCTTATGTCACCCCCTCCCTCAGCTTCTGTCAGTCTGTCTGCCTGTCTAATCTGTCTGTCTGTCTCTCTGTTTGTCTGTCTGCCTGTCTCTCTTCGTTGGTTGGTTCCTTATTATGTCTGTTGGTTAGTTGCATTCTGTTTGTGTTGCTTTTCTGTCTGTCTGTCTGTCTGTCTGTCTGTCTGTCTGTACGTTGGTTAGCTCATTATTTATGCTTGTTGATTGGTTGCATTCTGTCTGTCTCTCTGTCTGTCTGTCTGTCTCTCTGTCTGTCTGTCTGTCTGTCTGTCTGTACGTTGGTTAGCTCATTATTTATGCTTGTTGATTGGTTGCATTCTGTCTGTCTGTCTGTCTGTCTGTCTGTCTCTGTCTGTGTCTTTCTGTCTGTCAGTGTTGCTGTTCTGTGTGTCTGACTGTTTTTTAGCTGCTCACTGTCAGTCGTGTTTTTGTTCAAGTTTCACCATTTTCACTCGTTTATTTTGCTCAATTGTGTTTGTTTTTACGTGTGTTTTTTGTTCCTGTGTGTTTGTTTTTTGTTCAAGTGTTTGTTTTTTTGTCCAAATTTCTCCATTTTCACTCGTTTTTCTTTGCTCAATTCTGTTTGGTCTTGACGAGTGTTTTGTTTTGTGTGGTTTGCTTTTAACGTGTTTGTTTTTGTTTGAGTGTGTTTGTTCTACTGTCAACACCACACACACCAAACTCACTTTCTCTCTCGCTAGGAAAGTTGAGGGAGAGTTAAACAGAAAGAAAGTTGACTTGTGTTACTTTTTAATGCTTCAGATAGTGGTACTGGTAGTGGTGATAGTGGTGGTGGTAGTAGTGATGGTAGTAATAGTAGTGGTGGTTGTAGTAGTGATAGTAGTTGTTATAATAGTA